AAAACAAAAAAATAAGGGCTTTTGAGAAAAAGTAAGCACCTATAAGGGCCTTTATATTTTATTTTCAAATATAAGGACTTATAAGCACTCGTAAGGACCGCTACGAACCCTGGCTTCGCGGCAAAGCAGCTTTAGGGTTGCCTTAAAATAGCAAGGAAGGCAGGGTAGCCACATTTGGCGAGAAATCGCCCATTTAGTGACAAAATTGGTGATATACCACGGACAGATGGAGAACCTTCTGGAACGAATCCTTAATGGCTTAGCCCAGAATGTTCTCGAACACCAGCGAAAAGCTATATAAACACTGCTGGTATGTGGATAACTAGTTAGCATCGAGTTGGTGTCTTGTCTAGCGAATCTGCGCAGTCGATCAAGTTGGTAGCTGGGCAGCGAGTGCCGAGTGGGTCGTCGAGTTCACCAAAGGAGTCTCTTCGTGTATCACGGTTAGTGCATCGTCGAGAGAACGTGTTGAGCTCCTGGAATGACTGAACCGACGAGTCGGGAGCCGTGCCTTGTGTGTCGTCGAGTGCATCGCGAGTTGTAGCGTAGCGAGTCTCGAGAGTACGTGGAGTTCCAAGAATGACCGAGCAGAGTCGGGAGCTGTACTCTGATGCTTTGCAGTGAAGTTGTCTCCACCATGATAGCCTGATAACCTGGAGGCTGTCTCGCTGATCGTGTCAGCATGTTTATAGTAGTTCATCGACAACTGTAAAGTGTTTTGGAGCTATCCTGATCCAATATTAATATATTGGTAAATAATGTGTGTTCATCAAGTGTCGTCGTTATTCACTCCAAATCTGCACGAACCTGTGAAGAAAATAGCGTAAAAATATTTATGAGGCACTACACTATGACACCAAAATAGGCAATCCATGACATTGTCAGAAAGTACTTATGTAGCAGCAGCCCAGGTTTATGCAGCATGTAGCAAATAAGTACCTTCATATTTGGCACTTGAAAAAGAAAACATTGCAGTTTCTTCAGAAATAAATATACTATTTTATTCAACAGCATAGAATGTGAAAATTTGCATTTCAGGATGTTACAATTCTTAGATGATCAAATTTTATCTATTAAAATTTGTTTGTGATACCGAATTTGAACAATTCTGCAATTTTTTTGTAAGCAAAAACAGATTGCTGTATATGTGAGGGAGAAAAAAGTATCTGCAATGCCAAATTATAAAAGGATTTTTTTTTAAGTGTTACATGTTTCTTGCTTTTTTAATTTTAATAATTCAGTGTTCTTTTATGGAATTCTTAGCTGTTTTCAAAATGGCTCTTGAATTTCATGTAACAGCTTGGTGAAAAATTAGTCGGCAATGAGCTGGCAACTTTTTAGAGGAGGGTGAGGGTATTATAAGAAAGAACCTAAAATTTTTAAGTTATTTTATACAGGGTTGTCCAGCAAAGGAGTCCCTGATTTCAAAATTAAAAATCTCAAAAACAATGATCAAAAGAGAAATACAACAAGGGGTATATTTCATTTGAAAGCTATAGAATTGTTGTACAGAACTTTTGAAATAACACTTACAAGAGCTACCAACAGACGGCACTGTATGCTGTTACCCGGAGAATTTTGATTTGAATGGAAACATGTCCAGACTGTTTCTCAGTATTTTCTGCATGCTGTAGCTTTTCAAACCAATCTCTGCTACAATTTTTCAGACAGATTTCCCTGGATTTTGTTGAACAATTACAGAAACAACTGTAATATTTTGAGGGTATGACTAGTATAATTCTGATAGTTTGTTTAGTAAACAAAGGTATGTGTACAGAGTCGTAGCTAGGGTTTTCAGCGCCCAGGGACAACTGAAGATTTCGCGCCCCCTACTGCTTGCCAAGGATGAAAACATTTAATTCTAAAATGTCGTAACATCAGTCTGGCGCCCCTTGGATTCTGCACCCGGGGACAGATGCCCCCCCTTGCCCTCCTCTAGCTACGCCCCTGTATGTGTAAAAAAATTATTTTAGCATCATTTTTCTAAAATCTGATATGTACACCACATAACTTCCTTGTATGGAACATTAAATTCTATGCACTTTTTCCTGCCTTTCCTTTAAACTTATTTTCTCGAATTTCATTAGAGATACATTTCATTTAATTAATTCAGTTCTCACTTCACGGCAGGACAAAAATAAATAAAAACTCAAATTATCTTCATTCAAAATTGAAATATACAGAAAAATATAACACCAAATAAAGTTAAACAAATTTAAAAAAATTACAATGAAAATTACAGTTTCTAAGCAAAAAGAAGCAATTCGGCCAACAGGCACAAAACTGAAAGTTTCCTTTTGGTCACACTCAGCAAAAAAACAAACACTGAAGGTGCAGAAAGATTTAATTCATTTAAGTTTCAAATGTAAACAAATATGGCTGGTATAGTAAAACAAATTACGCTTAGCGGCTCTTAAACTGTTGATAATTCTGCAACTATTGCATGCAGATTAACTAAAGGCATAAAAACCTTAACAGGAAGATAAGAATAACATAATTCAATCATTTTTAAAGCCAAAAATGCACAATTTACTAACATACAATTAAAAAAACTGAGCTCACTGAGCTGAGTAACAGAATGGGTATTATATATATATATATATATATACTAAGGGAAATTGGAACAGAGAATTGAGACTATTAAAATTTCCAAGACACTTTGTCTAAATTTTAAAAAAAATTTTAGTGAAAAAGTTTCAATTGTCTGTTTCAGCAAAACGCGTAATGGGGTTGGCTTGATTCGACGTTCAAATAAATGAAATTTCCCTTGAAAAGCCTGTTTGGAAGTCGAATTGGGCTAATTTACCATTTTCCGCTTACTTTTTAACTTTTTCTGTTTTTTAATTTTATTAATGTTTTACCTAGGTCTAATGATTTTTTCATGTGTATTAATTTTTTGAAAACGTGTTAAACCTTTTGGAGCAGCAGCTCTTGGTAACTTTTAGGCGGCGAGGCTTACTACAATTTTTATATTTTACTTATTTTGCAGCATATTGCGCAAGATGTTTTCTAGACCAAAATTGGTTTTTTAAAAATTGTTATTACTGCTTTGCTTGATAAATTATATATATATACTTTTGGTGCAGCTGATTGCAATTAAAACAAGAGGTGCACAGCTACATGTTATAAAAGTCCTATATACAAAATTTCAATGTTTTGAGGCTACTTGTTTTTGAACTATGCGAGATACTTTTAAACAATTTCAAGATAATCTGTTGAGCTCAGATTTTGTAAACACATACATGGAGAAGACAACAAAACAAGATAGCATTTGTCACTATGGTCAAAACTTTGCCATAGATCTTTAAACTATTTCAAAATAATTTCTTACCTTCAGATTTTTTTTAACACAAATTCTTAAAAAAAAAACAAAAAAAAAAAAAAAAAAAAAAAAAAAAAAAAAAGATTAGGTAAAATTACTATTTGACATTTTTTTTTATCATAATTGTTTTGAAAGAGGGTTAAGTGTTTGTTTTATAACCTTTAAAAATTTAAAATATTTACAATAAAATTAATTTTTGGATGTTAAGTGTCCCATAAAAGTATACAGTATTATGTATCATTATAATAATGTTAAGAAAAAATCAGCTTTTAAAATGAGATGCTGAAAAAAATTGCCCACCAGCGGCCAAGCAGTAAAGTCACTGAACACTCATAGTTTGGTTCGGGTTCAAATCCTGCTGAAAGGACTGGCTGCATGGCCACTTTCATAGTTTTCCCATTTGTAATGTGTATAACAGCCAGTTTCGCTAAGAAAGTCCTCCACAAAGGCATCTATACCCTTAAGCAGATAGCCTTGTATGTTTTGGCATAATCAAACAAACAAAACCAAACTGAAAAAATACAAACTTATAAAATTTAAAGTGATGTGGTAGATTTCACCACAAATTTTACAGCTAATCAATCCTTAAATTCTGTTGCTTTTGATATTAATAAAGCAAAATGAATAATAAATGCAAAACCTGTCCATAAAAAAGAGGGGAAGGATTATCATTCATAAAATGGCAGAAGACTTCTGTAATAAATTTAATTTTTTTTTCAATTCCTTGCAGCAAGAGGGAGATCAATTAATAAAATCAAAATTGCAGAAATGTATATGGATGCAAGAAAAATAATGTGACATAATGACATCAAAACCTAGAAATTATGTTTTTAAGTTATACCAGAAGAACTGATTACTGTACCTTCTAGTTCATACTGCAGCATATTTGTTTAGTGCAGGAAATTGATAAATTAGTATCTTTTTATCATTCTCGTTTGAAGAGGGGGGAGAGTTTGCTTTCTAATTTCTGAAAATTTCAAAACTTTATATCAGATACACTTTCAGGCATTGAAATTTTAAGAATGTCAAATAGTAAAAAATCAGAAATTATGTTAAAATTTCATATTACTAGCATCGAAAATATTTTTATGTTCTATCTGATGGTGCAAACAGTAAAATTCAGAGAGATGTTTGCTAAATGAAAATATGTGAAAAAAGTTGTTTCAGCAACAAATAAAAAAAATATATTAAAAAAAAATTTAAAAAAATCTAAATTGTATATTTATCTACGTAGTTTATACTGAGTAGCACAGCAGCTTTCATAAGTAGTTTAAAAATCTATGACAAACTTTTCATGATAACAACAAACACCATGAGTGAGCTAAATTAAAGTTTACAATGATTTTAACTTTATTTTGCTGTTTTTGAATATGTAATAACAGAATATAAAAATTCCAAATTAAATTAACAATTAGCATTTAATATTACATTTAAAAGTGATCAAGATAAATTGTAAAGCCCAAATCATACATTGATATATACAACATAATATTTAACTTATAATAAACACATACTTATTACTGAGATAAAACAATATCAGTTAGGTAATTAAAAAATTAATCATCAGAAAAGAAGGTAAAGCAATTTAACGATTAGACCTAGGAAGACACACACACAAAAGAACAATTAAATGCAGCTAACATTTTTTTAGTTTTTATTTAAGCTCTAATTTACTTACTTCAATAAGTTTCCACATCAAATAAAGTGATAAAGTAGAACTAGGAAAAAATTTCATAAATAATCCACCCAAGAAGGCAGCTGGAACAGCATAGGCTGGATGGTCTCTATTAAATATCCACCTTAAAAGACAATTTATTCCCTATAAAAATATTAAATAAATTTAGAACATGAATTTGCTAAAAAAAAAAAAAAAAAAAAAAAAAAAAAAAAAAAAAAAGAGGACTTGTTGAGTTTCTCAGAAAAGCTGCAAAATCCAGACTGTTTGAATTTCTGTTTTTGGTTAATTTGTACTGAAATCAAGCAAAAACGAAAAACCTATTCTTATAATTTCCCAAATTAGATCCCTTTTTAAAAAACCAACTCGTCACATGCATTCGGATATAAAGAGTTATGTAATATTTATTAGTTATATACATTTATTAAGCATTGCATGCCTTTCAAATGTAAAGCAAAATTTTTTCAGTAAAAAAACAATTTCTCAAAGTTTTTAAGATGAAGATTAGCTCATTTTCTGCCAGTGCATGGATATAACCATCATATTTATAGTTTAAAAAATATTCCTCATCCTACGCTGTATGCTTACTATCTTGAAATATGCAAAGCTACCTACAACAATTAAAAAATAACTTTCGAAACTATTTTTCCAATCATGCCTAGCATACTCTAAACCCCATTAGCGTAATAATATCAAATTAAAAACGCCCAGCCCGTTCGCGGATTCGAACCTCGGACCGAACTACCAGTGTTCAGCGTCTTTACCGCTCGTGCGCTTCGGTGATTCCGAATTTGGTATTTTTCCGGCTATTAGATCATCAATTTAAATCTGGTAAGATGGCATGCAGAAATTATACAATTAAAATTATGAATTCGTAATTTATGAAATAAAGAACAAGTATGATCTAAAGTGTATCAAAATTTACAAAAAAAAAAAAAAAAAAAAAAAAAAAAAAAAAAAAAGGCAGGCTTAATATTTATTTGTTTACTTTATTAAACATTTCGTTCAATGTAAGTTGTTTAAGTTGCTTCCACAAAAAATTTAAAAAGTTCCTTTTTTCTTATGTCAGATACATTCGACTTTCTAATACCATACTCCTCGCATATTTTTGAGACGAACATGCCTTTATCCATTTTTTGCAGCAATTCCACTTTTTCTTTACTGGACATCGAAATATGGTTTCGCTTTGTAGATCCTTAGGCAGCCCCAGAATTGAAAACTCTTTTCGACATAATAGAAAGTTCAAGCTTTTCAATATCTTACAAACACTGAAATAAGCAAAAAATAACATGAAAGCAACTCAAAAAACATAAAATTCCATGCAGAATTTTACTCTGCAGAACAACTTTATCAAAAAAAAAAAAATTATATATATATATATATATATATCCTAAAAACAGTGACATAAGAAATACGGTGAAAAATTGTTGCCAAACCCATATTTCTAAAAGAATGAAACTATTCAAAATATATAAAATAATGGGATTTTACCAAAAATCTATCAACAACAATAAGACAGGAAAGTTGTTGCCAAAGTATCATTTTTAAAGATGTTAGAAGTGTACTCGGAAGCTTCATTAAAAAAATTTTTTTTAAATACAAAATATGATCATTTTTCCAAAATTCTTTTTGTAAAAGCAGTCACAAGGATGAAAGTTTAACGTGTCCAAAAATCAAAGAAAAATAAACTGAACATTTTTAAAAATAAACTTTTTTAGAAAAAATCCCGTTGAAAAAGTGTTAAGCTGCCTTTGTTAAATAAATTCATATTTAATCGATTTACTGAAACAAGAATTTTATTTTAAGTTTGTAAAATAGCTAAGTGCCTACGTTTCATGACGATGTGAAAATGGAGTGTGTAGAGTAAAATCTCGCTTTCCTATAGCCCATTGTGTCTCAAAGTGATGCGATTTCGTCACAAAACATAAAATAAAAAACATTTGAATTCGAATTTCGAAAAAATCGCTTCGAGGTGCACTGGCTCTTGTCTAGATGCACCTATGTACCGAATTTTGTAGCCGTGGGTCTATTAGCTTACGCGCAGCACGAACGAAAGACACACACACAGACAGACTCTTTCTTTTATTATATTGTTGCGTGCGTACGGGTTCGTTACGAAATGAATGCACAAATCCGATGAAAAAATGAACAAAAATTTATTATTATCACAAAAATATGATTAAATGATGTCCTCAAATAATCGTGCAGTATCACAATATAGTTATCTTCTAACTACTCAAACGTTCAAGAGAACTTAATTCGAAACAGCTAAAGAAAGCTAATCCGCGAATTCGCTACAGTCAACGAGAGCAGTTTTCTAAACAATAGCAAACTAAGTAACTGCTACGAACTGAGAGGTTTTCCTCCTTTTATAAGATTTTAAAAATCGCGCGCGAGAATTTTCTAGTACTTTCTCGAAATCAAAAAGAGATATTTATTAAATGTTACATGCACGCGCTCTTGTATTTTCAATTTTCCGCTTTAGCTTCCTTTTAATATTCGTCACGCGCTGCACTGCGCGGGAAATAAAACCATTTAATTTACAATTCAACTAACATAAGCTATTTAAATACCAAATCCGTAACAATATGTAATTAACCTTGATTCAAAACACATTATCAATAGTCCTAATCCTAATACAATCTTCTTCAGCGCATCTACACTGACATCACTCTTTCCCTGCAATTTCTCTGCATTACTGTAAACTTCTGCCCAGTCGCTGTCAAGAACTCGGAAAGGAACTGAGATTATAAATAACTCCAACTGCTTAAAACGCTTTTTGAATTCGATAATTGTACTTTTTATAATATACTGAAATCAATATATTTTATAATGCACTGAAATCAAACCACTTATGCTTTTTAACTTGTAAAACGAAGCAAAGAACTTCCTTCACTTGTTGGAAAAATATTATCACTGATAGAATTTTAATTTTACGTTGAAATCCCTATATGGAGAAATAAAATGGATGACAGTGCTTCTATAGTTCGATCCTGTCAAGTGCAACAACAGCTGGCATTCTGCCAAAATGCTTAGGATCATCCACAAGGGGCATTAATTATGTGATGCAGGGTGAGGAAGGTTATATGAGAGTTCACTCTTTGTTGGAAACAAGGAATTTTGTATTGAAAGAAATAAGGTCCATGACATCGGTTGATTGTATTGTCAATTATCTTTCATGCCTTTGTTTTGTATCCTCAGAAGTAAACCTGAAGATCTGGATTGATAGTAGAAACCAAAAATGTTGAAATTTTTTTTCATAACATATGACTATGGAACTATATTTTTGGTGAAAAAATTCTTTCTGTAACAAAAGCAAAGAAAAGGCCCACAGGTATCTACTCCATTTGAGTGGAGTCGCCCCTGCTCGCAGATGATTTAATGGTACATTTGCCAGTATTGTGATCTTTTATGCAATAATTATTTTTGTTTTTTTCTCCTAAAATAATTTTTTTCCTCTCATCTATGTTATTAATTGTAATGAAAATATTAGAGTAATTATTATATAAGAAGCTACTGCAATGAAAATTATACAATAAAATATAATAAATAATTCTAATAATACTTATTATGTAATAATAGTTATTTATTACACTTTACAAAAAATTGTATAGCAAAATTTAACTTTGAAAATACTAATATTTTTACCAATGTATAAATCTTATATATATATGTGGCTTAAGTGTTTGTTGCCGATAGTTTATTGGTTGCTTGCATAACTATAAATTGTTTTATTCCCCATGCAGTGAAGTGCGTGACGAATATTATGAGAAAGCTAAGCCGTAAAAATTAAAAACACAAGAGCACGTGCATTTAACATTTAATAAAGAAGTTTAGCATCTGTTTGTCGCCGATAGTTTATTGGTTGCTTGCGTAACTGTAAACTGTTTTATTTCCCGTGCAGTGCAGCATGTGACGAATATTGTGAGAAAGCTAAGCTGGAAAAATTAAAAATACAAGAGCACGTGCATTATTTAACATTTAATAAATAAATTTAACATCTATATATAATAAAATTCGGAAATATGCAACCAGCAAAAACCGGCAACGATGAAAAAACAAATAAAATTAAATAAATAAATATCTTTATTATATGCGGCTCAAGTGTCAGTTTGTCGCCGATAGTTTATTGGTTGCTTGCATAACTGTATTAGCCAATGGGGTGAAGTTGCCACGGCACAGGGTTGCCGTTTCAATTGTGATGTAGACAATATCCTGTAAAACTTGCCTTTGCTATGACCATTAATAAGTCTCAGGGCCCAAATGCTTAAGAATTTAGGCATTTTTTTACCTGAGCCTGCATTTGGACACAGTCAACTTTATGTTGCCTGTGTCCAAATGCAGGCTCAGGTAAAAAAGGCTCAGAGTTCGTGAAAGAACGGACATAAAATTAAAAATAATTGATGGTTCTCTGTAAGGCGAGCTTAAAAATGATGGAAAGATCTACACAAGAAATGTTGTGTACAAAGAGATCTTTGACATGTAAATTAACATTTTATTATTTAAATCACCTTTATTTATTGAGCTAGCGGTGGCTCTTAAGAAATGTACCGCCAGTGGTTTCCTTCATTGCACTCTACTTTAAGCAAGTAGAAGGGGGAAACCCCGTGGGGCAGTAAGCAAAGGGGCGTCCTTGCCGCCTACCCTGCATAATTCACTTTAAATTAGCAGATACCTTTGCACTAATCATTATACAGTCAAAAGTCGTTAATCCGGACTCGTCAGGACTTCAGTGATTCCGGATTATCGATTTTTCCAGATTATAGATCATCAGTTTAAATCTGGTAAGATGGCATGCAGAAATTACAAAATTAAAAATATGAAACCGTAATTTATGAAATAAAGAACATTTTATGATCTAAAGGGTATCAAAATTTACAAAAAGAAAAAGCTTAATATTTATTTGTTTACTTTATTAAACATTTCTTTCAATGTAAGTTGTTTAAGTTGCTTCGTTTCATGTGATAATACTTTCTCTTTAATTCTATTAAACAGACATAATTTCTTGTTTAGTTACAAAGTTCCGCTGTTCAAGTCCTAAAATTGCTGTGTCGAGAATACCGACTAATTTGTCAATCGAAATGTTTTCGTTTTCAATAACCTCTCTGTCACTTTCTTCACTATCGGAGCGAATTTTAATGACG